CAAAGGGGGTTACCCGAGCCAAGAAAGCCGAGCAGGTGGGGTTGATCCAAGGTTGGGTTTCCTCCTGTGAGTTGATGCTGGCGGAATCTGAGAGATGACATGATCAGATATGGTCACATGCTCAGGCTCACATGGTAAGTACATCAGTTAGATAGTGCACCAGCAGAGATAGTGGCTACTATTGAATTGTTCTCTAAGAGAACCAACTCAATAGCCAAGAGTGCCGGAGTGTGATTGTTGACAACAAGCTTCGGACGGACATGACATGACAGCGGACTCTTGTGATTGGTAAAGTTGGAGCTTTGCATCCACTAAACCCTTTGGGAGGTCCAGCCCACATGTATCATTGCCGATGCTGCGGGCATGTTTGTGGATGAGTCCTGTGACGGAACATGAGCTATTGGCCAAGAAGACCATTTCAACAGGTACTGTACCGCAGGCAAAACTTCTTGAGGCTGTGGATCCACAAATAGGTTCAATACCATCGGCCGGCTAAAGGTTGTTTCCTTGTGCATTGGACATGGTTTGTTTTTTTTTTCACATCTATTGCAACACATGTTGATTTGGGTGTTGCTCATTGTTTGGGTTACGTTGCTATGCTCGATGCTTATCCCAGCAATACACCCAATAATGAACCTATTCTCTCCTTGTTGAGATGTATATAAAGTCAATTGAAACCCATTGCTGTGGGCGAAACCAGAGCCATGGTGAAACGATTTGCACCCTGGAAGGTCATAGTAAGGCGGATGAGATAAGATGAGATAGGAGTTTATGATGGGCACTGGCCATAAATCCTGCAGAGGCAGACCGTCAATGTGAGCCAGATAGTGATGACAACAGCCAGATAATCATTCAATCAAAGCATAGTGACCATAGTCCAAGCATGTTCCTGGAGTTTGGCACCGTTCGTCGTTCGGCAAACACCTGGAGCCGGTCACACCACCGGTCTTGGTGCCGAGGCCATGCGAGGCAACGCCACGGCATTGGATGTGCAGCGACAACTCTTCGAGAGTGGCTGGGTCTGCAGAGGCCCAGGTCTTGAGACAATGGAAAACGGTGAGTGTGCCCGGTGCTATTTGTAGATGAAGCCACATGAAAAAGACACACACACACACCATCACACACCAATATTGTAGACTACAAGCAACATACTGACAGATACATGTGTTCTTAGTTGTGCCTTTTTTTAGGTGGGATGGACATGGGGACGCACTCCCTTTGGGGACACAGTCCCTTCAAACACGTTCAAACCTGTAATTAGTACCCTTAGCGGATACTGTACACCATCCCTCACATATATATATATATACATAGATACATACATTGTTTTGTTAATTTTCGCAGTGCTGCAGGCTCCAAGCCCATTGGAAAGCCAACTCACTCATTGGAACGCACAAACCCGGAAAATTCCCATAGACTTGACCCAAAACGACGAGAACAACCAACAGGTGACAGGTGCAGACTCAGCGCTTCTTGCTTTTTCGGATGTCCAACAGGTGATGAAACGTTCCGCCGTTCCGGTGTAGCCTCAGGTGGTTTCTGGGGTGAACGCAGTGTGTGGTTTAGATGGTTTTCAGGAATCCAGGAATGAATCAGGATCAATGATCCATTTGGTTGGGACATGGTTTGTGGTATAGATGTTTTTATCAGGATCATTTGTCATTTGTCCAACAACCGAGAAAAATCGTGCCGTATACGCCGATTCGGATCATGGTCCGACGTGCGAGCTCGACGGGTTGCTTTGACCAAGGCAAAAGGTTGGAAGACAACCTGAATGCCTTCCGCAAAGAGGCACGTGAAAGCTGGGCGAAGGTGCCTTGGCGGCGACGGGGAAGTTGGAAAGAAAGGAAGTTGCTGGGTGTCTGAGCAAGACGGTGTGAAGAGATTACAGTGCTGCGTTGTCCAAAGAGAAGGCATGTTGTCAGGAGCGTTTGAAAAAGAGAAGATATCATAAGAGAAGATATCATTGGCTATTCAAAAATCTGAGGAGGTAGCGCTCAAGTGCCTGAATCCTCGATTCAAAATATATCCTGTCGACGTCAGCTTTCGTGAGATGCCAGAGTGAGTCCCCTGCAACATAGAAGCATCAGACAAATTCAGAAATTCACAAATGGCTGCAACTCTGGTGCAGTTCTCCTTCAGGGTTCATCAATGTCACCCATGTTTGCCAAATGATTTCTCCACGACCAGTTTGGAGTTTTGTATATGTGTGTAGATTCTCTTCATCAACCCTTCAATTGACCAAGTCCAAATGTTCTTCCCAGCCTTGACCAGCTATCCCAATGTTGCGGTCTGTTGTGGTTGGCAGTGAGGTTCAGAAGCTCCTTCATCGGGCATGCAAGAGCGAGGAGATTTGGAGCTAAACCTCGTTGAAGCGAACTGAGAGATGAGCGATGGCGTTTCTTCGGCTCCTGGAGCCCCTTAGACTAGCGGGCTAGTCAACTCATCCACACACAGAAACCCATGAATTGAACATTCTAGTATTCACCCTAATTCGGTATGGTCAATAAGTGACCGAATACAGGAGTTCCATCGGCCTTCCATTTCAGTTGGTTTCTTTTTTGTTGTCATGTTCTCTTGTTTGCCAAACAATATATACTGTATATGGTGCGCCCTTCACAGGACCAAGACCCCATCAATGGCCCTTTGTTCTTACCGTTCCATGCAGTGTCAAACGACAAGTTTTGATGGACGCATTCCTGTAAAGGGGTCTCCATGTTGCCCCTTTGCTACTTATTGAGAAATTTTAAGTGTTATTCTGAACAATTTATGAAATATAATGAAATATACAATAATTCTATAGTTGTTACAAGACTCTCAAGTATTTTGGTTTCCCCAACTGGGCGTTTCTTTGTTTTGGATCTGGTAGCCTTGCCCTCTTCAGGACAAAGAAGCGGCGAGTAGTACAGATCTGGCAACCCCCGCGGAGAGAACACCAGGCGCGCGAGCCGGTCAGCTCCTGGAGTGGCACGCAACACGTGGATGGTACGTGTGTATAGAGGTACCACCTTTTGAAAGGAATGTTACTGTTATTTCTCTATCTATAGGGGGCTCTATTAGTAGATGGTACGTCACGGTATGTCTAGCCATGTCTGGGATCGACTCGAACATCGATGTTGCTCCACATCGATATGAACCGATGTCGCAGAACTGTAGCGCCCTACGAGGCTTCCTTTGGCGCCCACAGTCCCAATTGAGGTGTATAGTAGTGGTAAGGGGGTGTATAGTAGTGGCACCGTGGTAGGGGTGCCACTGAGGTGAAAACTCTAGAGCAGACCCACCTCGTGTGGAAGAAAGTCTGCCTCGAGTGAAATGACAGATCAAACTACCACTCTTACTGTTGGTTTGTCCTTGATTGTCCCGTGGCAGTTTCCAGCTTTGTTTCATCTCAATTAGCATGAACATGTCACGCAAAAAGCGACGACCCCAGTTGTTTGCATCATGAAGGCGGGAGTTTTCAACAGGGATGAGGGTTTACTTGTTGCTTGATTGCAATTGTTTTTGGTTCATTTACAGTAGTTATTGTTGTGGTTGCTCTTCCGAAGATGTGAACACTTCAGAAGCTTCAGAACAGCAACCGACCGCCAGAAGTGAGGAAGTCTTGGACCCAGAGTCTTCGGGGCTACCGAAGTGCGCCAGGTCCTCCACCTTAGCGACATGACGGCAGCGGGGTGCAAAGACATCAGCTGCTAGGGTTGCTACCAGCTTCACAGTTGCAAACCCCAAAGACACAACATAAGGTTTACACCTCTAGCGTAGGTTGCCGAAGCCGACAAATCTCTCCCTACCTGCAAAAAAACCAAGTGAACATCGAAGTGAAGAACGGATTCTTAAATAAACAGGAAAACGTCACTGCTTTGTTTCAGCATCATTTATTTATGGCAGACAACATATTTGGGAGATCCACTGGCATGCAGAATCTGGACACTCGTCATGTTCATCTCACACAAAAGACAGATGGCTTCCCCATTTTGCTATTGCTTGATGTTTAAAGCAAAGAACTTGGTTGAACACCCACGGGTTGAACCATGTTGAACGCAGCCATGGAGCCATACATCCACTTGTAACGGGTTGCACGTGCCGCACCGGGGGGAGCAAACGACCTGGACAGAGTGGTTGGATGGGTATTTGTGGGGATATACTCCTGACATGTTCTGATCATGTTCAAGTATAGGGCCGTTTCTTGCTGTCACATTCCTGGCCCACGAATATGCCGTGAGAAGATAGCTCGCTCCATCTCGCTCCCCAAAAAGACCCCAGTTGACTCCAAACAATGAACTAGCCATCCTTATTTTTTGAATGGACCAGCAACTTCGTTTGACTTGCTAACTCAACCCAGCTCTTGGTGGCATGAGCGAACCCGGCAGCATCCGGCAGTCACTGGAGACTCTTGGTTCAAGGAGGAAGGGCCATTTGGTGCCGTTGTGTGCACTCCAAAGGCGTCGGGGAGAAGGAGAACGTCGGTCCGGAGGAGTGATGTTTAAGGCCAAACTGACCAACCTTTTGGGAAGAATGAACGTTGCGCGCCACGCGCGCTCCGCCAAAATGGTGCAACGCATGATGTTTGCAGCCTCCCAAAACCCGAAAAGGATGGCATGGCTCACTTCAAATGGTTGACGTTTTGCTGGACAACGATGGAAGTTCATTAGTCATTAGTCCAATACTCACGACGTGTCATGGCTTTTCACCATGACCACCAATCCATGTGTGAAGTGTTTCAGTTGTTTCCCTGTTCCCATGTCCTCATACTTGCCGCAGCGATAAAGAGAGGAAATCGACTCTGACCCCCTGACACAGAGTATAGCCTCTATGGCCTTTGCATCAGTGACTTATGGGTTCCATTAATTGTATATTGATGTATAATGTATATATATATGTATATGTGAGTGTATATATATATATTTACATATAGACATATACATGCATGCATACATGCATACATACATACATGCATACATGCTCGGACAGCGTCCCGCCTCGGAGTTCGCTCTCTGCAGCAGATGGACATGGATCCCAGTCAAGCGCTGGAGGCGCAGCGCAAGGCGGACCAAACCGGCGGAGCCAGGAATTCCGGGGCGGACACCGGCGGTGGCAGTCTTTGGGGTCGTGGTGTTTTTTTGGCGCATCTGAAGCCTTTTGAGAGGTCCAGAATTCCTAATCACATAATCATAGAGAGAGGGAACCAGAGAGCGAGAGATGTGCATTAATCTGGAGCACAGGCAACATCTACTGGTAGTGTTGATTTCGGAGTTCATCAGGGATGCAACACCAATGGACTCTGTGTTGTGCCAATCCACACAGCAACAAATGTACTGTACAATACATACGTATAAAATATATATAATATATATAATATATATATATATATACACACCAGATAGAAGTAACAGTGAATTCCATTAAACATGCATTTTTTCTGGTTTCATACCTAAACCTGTTCGTTGGAGAGCTAGGTGCTAGTTCCACTGTGCTGGTTTCCCATGCTGAGTTGCTGTTTCATTGCCATACAATCAATTACATCACAGATCCGGTCAGTTTCGCCATTTGCTGGCACATGGTGCACCCATGCCGGATCTCTGACGAACTCCAAGCTGCCAGGCTCATCCAGAGCTGGGAGAGCAGGTGGACAAGATACAGAAATTCGTCGACAGCAAGCTGCCTGGAGCTCCGGATGTTTGGCGGCAGACCTTGCTTGCTCATTCTGACACGCGCTCGCCATGTTATCTGAGCTTCATGTGAAGGCAAACAGGAAACGACCTACCTCTTCAGTGGAAAATAACTCAATGAAATTCAGGAGCAAACAGCATCCCAGAGAAATCTTGTTTAGGCGGACGATGTTTGAAAGCTGTCAACTTGACTGTCCAAGACCCTGAGCCAAGACGATTTGGATCCAGCAACGAAAGTGGATGGTTTGGCCTCTTGCCTTGGAGGATTGTTTTTCCTCTTGGAAGCAGCGGGTGGAAATCCACGAATTCATGATCTTTCGTGTTTGGAGGGTCATCGCCCCACAACCCTCCCATCAAATATCGGTTTGGGCACATCTACAAGTACTTCCAGCTCGGGAGAGCAACGATTTCTTCCTCGTCCATTGTGCCGAGGTACCACCAATTGACCCAGAGCCTCCTCGAGTGCGCACGAAATCGCCAGTCAGTGGAGACCCATGAAGTAAAGTCAGATAGTGAATGATGTTCAACAACAGGGTGTTTTATAAGGATATGTTGCAAGGGTATTTTACAAGGATGTCAACCTACCAGGGTTTAGAGCATCGGTCTTGCACAGCAGGTTCGGCGCTTCTTACGCGTCCCTTGCCCTCTGGGCAGGTGCGGTAAGAGTAGAGTACTAACTAACAGAACGGAAAGAAACTAGCCTAGCGGTGAATTAACCACGCGGTATCTCGCAAAGTAAAAGCAGCAACTAATTTATTTACACAGACCGCATATCTAGAAGGGCCCTGTAGGAATGGGCACCCCAGAAAAATCACGGTTAGCTCTCCCTCAGCGACAAATTTTATCACTAAAATCGCTTCTCTGTTTGAACGGAATTTCTTCAAGAGTTTCATGATCAAAAATCGGCACTTGGAGCGGCAGGTGAAATGGTCGATTGGAGTGAAAAGGGGGATCGCAGTCAAGATCATCAATGTAGGTCTGAAGTGCTTGCATCGTGTCCACGGGTTGGGAAGCTTCGGGCGGCCGGGTCCGACTCTGAGACATGCTGTTCCTCCAAACCCAAGGGCTTCGAAGGCTACGGCAGTTCGTTTTTTTCAAAGACTGGAACGAGCGTTGGGCGACGAACAGAACAAACCGGACTTTGACCCGCAGCTTGGATGAGAAAAGGATGGGCAGGTTGCAGGTGGCGTTTGTGACCCGCCGAGCGCCTGTGACCACGCAGAGGATGGCCGCCGCGTGGGCCGTGAAGGGTTTTTGGCTTTAAACAACGATGCGGACGATGCGCCGGAAATGCTGTGGGTTGTCAGTTGTGCATCGTTGTGTTGTCATCTCAATGGCAATCGAAAGAAATTTGCCCCCTGTCCAGATCAGGTCACCATGGGTCACCATGGGGACCTTCAGAGCTGTGCAACCCTTTTGGCGAGCAGCAGGTACTTGGTGAACCCTCCCTTCACCAGTCCCTCTGCAGCTGGAGAACTCAAGGAGTTCTATGAGAGCTGGGTGCCCAGCAGTGCGGTGGGTTTCGGTCCGGCGAATGCTTTGGCCCGGCGAATGTCCTGTACTCCAACCTGGCACCATTCACGGGTTGAAAGCAGAGGTTCCTCTCTATTGGGTGCATTCGGTGTACTTTCCCTGACAAGCCCTGAAAGGATCCCCAAGAATCTTGGGATCTTTCGAAAGGGTTGGCAACCCCCTTCAGATGACTTTCTACTAACGTCTTTTGAGAACTTGGCACAATTCCTTTTCAGCTGGGACAAGGGACGCGGTCCCAGCGGTCCCAGCGATCCCAACAGAACTGTTCTCAGATGCGTCAGCTCTCTTGCGACAGATGGGTGAGTCTTAAGCAGTGACCTTTTGAAGGCATCGAAGGGAAGCCAAAAAGAAGCGTGAAGAGCCTGCACTCAACAACAACCCCTACATTGTCACCAGCTGCATACACTATGCACCGAATGTGTTCCACCAGAGGGCTTCGCATTGTTTCAGAGAAGCAACTTCACACACTCGTCGTGGTTCTTTGTGTGTTGCTTTGTTCTAGAGTTGATAGGCCTTGCAACAAATGAGTGTGCAATACGTGGAAACTGACAATAGATGTCCAAGTAAAATGATTTCTTGGCACTTGCCATGTTAGTGGGACTCCAGATCGTTTTGTTTGCTGATTTTGGTACGGGACTCTCACAGGGCTTGTTAGAACGACCATAATCCGGGCTGAAAGCTCATGAAGAACTGTGGGCCATAACATGACAAATACCTTGACCGTGGAATCCTCAGGGACAACCAGACACTATACATTCATGCATAATTTGGTTCAATTTGGCAGACAGCATGAGGATGGATGAGGGATGTCCATGTCCATCAGTGAAGAACCACCATTCGACAGGCTTCATCAGGGGCTTCGATTCCAAATTCGACAAAGTGCGATGGGCCCGGACGCCTCAGATTTGGATCTGAGTCCAAAAAGCGAATGGTTTTTCTCAAAAAGATATGATGTGTACTGAGTGACAAAGAAATTGACCTGTCAGAGTCTATGAACCCAACGCATTCAAGAGAGAATTGAATGCAAGGGCTGTGATTGCAGGACAATACCAACAAATTATGATATATTTTCAGACAGCAGCAAGGACCTGAATCGGTACCTCTGAGGGACTCGGCAACCGATGAAGATCAAGATGGATCCACCCCCAGACGATACAACAACCTTTCGTCCTAATGCTTTTCATGTCACATCTGACGAACAACACATGCATGAATTAGATTCTTCGTGCAAAACCTTCGATCCAACCGCGCAGGAGAATTAGCCCCTCCTTGTGCTGTGTTGATTCGATGGCGGCATCGGGGAGTCTGGGGGACCTCATCCTGATGCCAAGGTACTGGTGTGTTTTCCCGCATATTTGGTAATGGCAATGTCCCATGTGGCCCATATCATTTATCTACTCCAAGATGGGCATGTGAATGCTCTTTGCATATTCACATCCACAGTCCAAGCTGGATTCGTTCTGAAAAACACATCTCCAAAATCTCACAGTGTCAGAAGGCAAACCCTCGCATGTCCACCGCGTACTGTATATTATCTGAAAAAAAAAACAACAAAACATTTAAAAAAAAAAAAAACTTGTGTATCCAACGACTTGTGTACCCAAACAACATCCATACTTCCATGACCTTTACATGACCTTTACATGAATAACATCCAAGGGACCTCCATGACCTTGACATGAGCGGATGAACCGCAGGTCCGGATCCGATCTGTCTCAGGTGCAGATCCTGTCGATCATCGCCAAACCACAGACTCCGCAAGTGGCGCTGGAACTGCTGGCACCCTATGAGGACGCCCACGTACGGCGCTCCGCAGCTTTTGTGTGGTCTTTGACAAAGGGTTTGTTGGTTCATTCGATTGAGGTTGTCGTTTTAATATGTTTTAAATAATCAGTGATTCGTTGGTTTTCCGGTGATCTAAGTTTGGTAAAACATAATTAGTTAAAACAAAGGGTGGGTGTCTCGCATTTAGCGTCGCTCAAAGACGACGGCTGGAAGGATATCATTCAGCTGATGCTCTAGTCATTTTAGGTAAAGATGTCCCGTCGACGTTGTTCCACTTGGATGATGGACCATCATGGATGTGTCAGTGCACAGAAATGAAACGACAACGCTGCAACGCTCAGCGAAACGACGGTGCTGCCGCACCGGCGACAGGAGGCGATGGCCAGTAGTAGAGATGCCAAGTTTCTTTGGCAGACCTTGAAGGCTGGGGGAGGACTGGGGAAGACGTGAGCTTTCCGGGCAGCTTCTGGAAAAAGTAAACGGTTGAGAGAAGTCACACCTCATTCTGCTGCTTTGCTGCTTGGGCTCAACAATGATGGATTTTAGCCAATTTGTTGCTTGACCTAAGGATCGTGGCGGTGACAGAAAACAAACTTTTGTGTACGCCCTAGAAGATAAACATGGAATCTGAAAACCACTGAGTTGTAGAGGAAAATAGTCTTTCAAAGGTGCATTTTGAGGTTCCATGTTAATCCTGCCGAATTTATATATAACCGGAGAAGTGGCCTGGCCTCATTTGCCTCACTGGCCGTGGCTGATGACAGACCCGGGGATCCATCGTCATTGGTCCAGTGGTTTCGAACATCTAAACAGTAACTGTTCGGAACCAAATTATATCTTAAGTGCTTTTTGGCAAAGACATGTTCTTTCGGTTTTTAGCAAAGACCACCATGTTTGGTATGACGGAGCTGGAGCTGGAGTTGATTGACATACCCACTGCATGATGGATCCATGTATACAGTTCTTTTTGTTACATTCTTAGAGTCTTTGTGTGTTTATGTGTGTTTACATGCCTGCAAGAGTCCGTCCTATTGGTTGTCAGTTGGAAGCGTCCGCCATGCACACCGAGTTGTGACCAGTCAAGGCTCGTGCACCGCATCGTTCGCTTCGAAGATGTCGTGTGTTCTTCCCAAGCAAGCCTCTCATGGTCCTTCCCAAGCAAGCTATATAGGCAAGCAAGCGACCCTCGACGCGACCCCGAACGGACGACGCGACACTGCTCTCTTCCGAACGACGGTCACTCGGCCAGGGTGAGAAGCTGACGCTCTCGGGGAACACCGACGCGGCGAAGGCGGCGAAACCGTGGCGACGTGCCGAGTCGCGGTGGCGCGACGCGTCGCTGGGGCGTCGGGTCCGAGGCCAAGAAGACCACGGACTGGGTGGGGAAAAGCGTTTTTTTTCGAACGGAAAACGGACTCTGTTTCAATGGTCATGTCGACATCCTATGATCTATGATCAGTTCTATGATCGAAGGACGGCTTCGAGGTGTTTGGGACACCGGCACGATGGAGTCACGAGAGGTTTTTTTTAGTCAAGTCAGATTCCAGCCACTTCCCGACTCATGGACGGTCAACGACCTCGCCCTGCGTCGTTCGCCTTCCAAAAACTGCTTTGTGTTTGAAGCACTGGACTGACCAGACGTATGACACACACGCCCCTTCCTTGCGATGTGAAGGTGCTCATCAGACACGGTACCTCTCGACTGCCACCGTGTCACAGTTGATGGAGCTGCGAAGCTGCTCTACCCAGAAAAGCTTAACAGCTTCACCACTGATAAGGAAACTCCGCGGAAAACAGCAAGGAACACTCCACACGCTGTGTCACACAAAGTGTTCCTCGGATTTTGTTCAACACCTCGTTGTCCTGACCATGAATTCCCTGAGTTCCCGTGCGCGTTGCCACGCGCGTGGCAGGAACTGCTCGACACCTTGGGCGCTGACATTGACGCAGCCTATGAGGCCTCCAGCGGTGCAACAGCCACAGAGATCTAACGGAGGCGACCCACGATGGTCACCAAACATGCCAGTGTGTGTGTGACCAGGTGCGACTTGCAAATAGGTAATAATTTATAATGTTGTGTTGTTCCTACTTTTGGGGTTCTCAGTTTAATGTCATGCTTCATAGTGGGATGGACCGCCTGATTTGGTGAGTGATGGTGGTATATGCTTGTCTTTTCGATCAGCGCAAACAAAAACACACGTTGCGTTCATGCGGGGCATTTTCGGATGACCACGGTGACCGTCACTGCTCTGTCTGAAGTCAGATGGTGTGTCTGGATCCGGCAAGCATGCGGCAAGCTGGCAAGCGAACCAAGGAGTTGGCCAGGTTTTGAACAAAAAGTAGAGTGAAGTAGAGCGAAGTGCTGTACATGTTGGATCAGTTTTGGTCACATGTCGTGGATGGGACTGGTTACCTCACCTACCCTCTTTGCCAAATAAATCTAGCAGTTATCATCCCCAACGAACTGGGTTGACATGGAAGCACGTCCCAGATCTGGCAGGTGCAAGCCCTGATCCAATCGCACTTCCACAAGACCAAGGCTCGAAGAAGCCCCGCTAAGTTTGATTCCCGGGTCGGGGGGATTGTTTGGAGTCGACTTGAGCTATTCCTCAACAAACAGATCCAGGGGATCTTCCAAGGGTTGTTCGATGTTTGGATGATTTTCTGTTGGTTTTTATCAGTGATTCTTGGTTGGTGATGCGAAGGAAAGGCTTCTTTTATGGCGCCATAGGGAAAGATTTGCCACAAGCCCGCCGGGGAAAAGCTTGTGTTTTGCTGAAGATACCATTTGACGCGGTCATGTTGGACCCCAAAATGGCTTGCTTGTAAGGGCTTGCCAGGGCCGCTTCGACTGTGTGACGCATGCTGTTTTAAGATTTGGACCCACAGGGAACAAAAATGGGTTTCATGCGGTTGTCATCGATGAGTTTTTCTACTTAAAGCCCACAAGAGTCACAAGAGACACTGAAGAATCAGCCACCACATGGTATAGGTTGTCCCAGATCCAATAGGTTTGGGCGCTTACTTTGGCCCTTCAGATTCCTCAGGCCTTGCTGTGGAAGACCTTGAGTCGACCGGATGAGCCGCACGGCCGCAAGTCCGTCCTTCTTTGGATCACGGACGCAGAACCATGGCGTCCAAGCAGGGGTGGACGCTGCGTCACATGGGATAGTTTTAAGAACCCCCACGCCTTCGGGACGTGGCAATTGATACGTTTTTGTTTGGTTAAAGCACAGCCTTCAGACATTGGATCTTTTTAGGTGCCGTTTCAGAGATTCAGATGCCGTTCTTTACTACCGAAGCTGGTGTGCGAATCAGCGCAATAGGGGATAGAGAGTGAGGGAGTGCACCTTACCAAACTGGGCTTATGGACAGGTTGAAACCTGGTCATATTTCATGGAGTTTGGATTTAGCATGATTTAGCCAGGAATGTTTTGTAGGTCATACCATACTGTAATATTGGATGATTTAATTTACACAGGGCATGACTGGATGAGATGTGGGCTACTGCTCATGTTTGTAACAGCCCTGGTGGAGGTTCTATAAGAGCTCCATCCTCTACTTGGCCTTCACGCCCCTTGAGGCAATCCCAAAGGAGGCCACAGTGGTTGGGCCGCCTTCGGCGTCGATTCCTTCGGAGCTCGGTTACCTTCACTCGGCCATTGCAAGGACATTCACATCATACAGACAAGTGGATCTCAATTAAGAATTGACCCTTCCCCTCTTCTAGCAAACAGCTGAGGGAGAGTGAATACAGACAGGCTCACCACAAGTATCTTCATAGTTTACGTAGTAATTAAAAGTACAAGAAGTAGTGGTGGTGGTGGTGGTAGTAGTAGTAGTAGGAGTAGGAGTAGGAATCGGAGTAGGAGTAACATTAGTAGTAGCAGTGGGGTAGCATGCTTGCTTTTGCCTCAAAAGGTTTTCGGGTCAGAGTTCCGGGAATCGAGCAAAATCTCAGAAGGGTTAAGCAAGGATAGATCAATAGAACGCACAGAATTAAGGAACAACAACACAACATCATACAGCATCCACACCTGGGTAAAGGCCGGCATGGGCCACGCTGGGCCATGCGCCAGCATGGGCCTTGCGCGGCTTTCCTGCGCGTGAGACGGAACATGATTGCTGGTTCTTGCTTGCAGTGGCACACATTGTGGGCATATGATATGTGCTGTGCCGACGTATTGCTGTGTTGGTATGCTCGCGTGGCACATTGGAAAGGTTCACACTCTCGGAGACAGCATTGTTTGGCAAAGACACGGCACTTGTTGATGAACTCGCGATGGCGCCGTTGCCTGGTCGGTGGATTTTAACACCCAGCTGTTGGGGGATTTTCTTGGGGCCGGACCAAGCTACAAACATCCCAACTGCCGCGACACTGTCTAACCATCCATCCAATTGAGGCCCATCTCCAACACAGACACAAATAGCCAAGTTGTTTCAGGTACAGTAGCTATTTGTTTTATTCAGTGGATCTCCACGGCTGGGCGAAACTCGGCCACAGCTCAAAGAACTATTCCAATGGATTCCTATGGCTCGAGCCATGTCATTTCAACAGTAACCCCAATGTCACGAGAACATGTCCCGAAGTTTTGCCGATTGTACATTGGACTTCGTTCCAACAAGTGCCCTAGGGATCCACATACCTTCTCGGTACGACTGGGCGCTCCTGGCGCCTACATAGTCTCCGTCCTCACCGTACCTGAGAAGGTACGACTGGATTTGTAGGGGTGGTGAAGGCTCACCCAGTAAAGGCGGGCAACAATTGAAACCACACGAGTTACTACTTAAGTCGTTGGAAAACCTTGCCCGCACCAACCACGTCTTCACTTCCGTGCCGGGGCACAGGAGCGGCCGCGGATCGCCTTTGAGACGGTGGTCTCAGCATTGGTGGCCGAGGAGGACCCGCGTGACCCGCGTCAGTAAGGCACAGACCTGTGAGTCTCAGTGGTGTTGAACTCCGCCCTCTCTCTCCATTGGGGTCGTTTTCAGTGGAGTTTTGGACAGAAACACACCACGTTTGGCACTCCATTCCGTCCAAAGTCCAAAGGCCCAAGTTCGCCCAACGTTGTGTTATTTGTTTTCTGGTGAAATAGTTTGGGTATACAATTTGGCAGTGTTGTTTGTTGGAGCAAGCACATTTGCATATATCATATATAGTTAGTATATTATGCTGGCCTCATATTGATTCTTGCTTGATTTCTTCGACCCAAATCTTTTGTGAACCCCTTTTGTTTGGGGTAACGTTTTGAACTTTGGGGTACCTTGTCTAAACTGAATTGGATTTCGGAATTGAGGCTCAAAACTCGCAAGTGGAACAAGTCCACTTTGTGGCAGCAAAAGGCAGCAAAAACTGACGGAACATAACAGCTGGGCTGAATTGTAATTTTTGTGAGCTGGTGGTCTTGTCATTCCAGGAGTCGACCGGGTCAAGTGTTACAGTGCCGCGCCAGAGGAGTTCAACTTCGGAGAGCTGACACAGCAGGAGATCATCCCATCCCTGGAAGGAGCGCAGTCATCGATCGACTGCGATGGTAGTGATTTGACGATACTCCAAAGTAACTGAGGTCTTGAATGATGGTTTCAACCACCAGCCAGTCAAAGTCCGGCACAGGTTGTTTGTGTTGTACGTGTGTCCCTTTGCAGCAATTGATTGGGCCATTGGATGCACTTGGTCCTCTTTGCAACTTCATCGAAATACTTGTTTGAACTATCAGGTGTTTTGGATCTCGTTTGCACGCAGAGTATGAATGCCAGATCTGAGAGATCAATGGAAATCTGATGATGTTTGGACTAGAATACTGTAGTAGTTTAAAGATGCATGAGATTGACCAGAATGAGCTGAACCTGAAGGTTGCATGCATGGACATTGGATTCGTTCACATCATGATGCAATAGCAGCAAAATTAATACGATATAATATGGTATATACAGTACACAGTAATATGCTCTTCTCTGGCCGAAGGAAGCGCTCCCACTATCCCACTGAAGCAGTGAAGCACAGTAAACCGAGAGTCTGACTTCAAGTGGTGAATTCGGACTTCAAATGCATTCAACATGATTTGCTTCATTGTGTTCGACCCCGATATGTTTCAGAGAATGTGTCAGTATATATGAGTTACCCCAAGGGATGTATGGAATGCACAAGGAGGGCGTCGGGTTTTCCTGGCGTCCTAGCCAACTATCTTTGCTTCCACCTTCCAAGCATCCATGCTTTGCTACGAAGAAGTTGCAGTTTTGAGTTTCCATGGAACATGTTTATTTGGAAATGGTGTATATATATGGATGAGTGTGTGTGTGTGCGTGTGGGTGTCTTGACATCCAATTTGTAGATATTTGTGGAAACTTAGGGCCACCCAACACCCTTCACCGCCTAGCGATGGTCTAGAAACGGGCTTCTTTTGTACAATCGACACTCGGCTCAGGCCTGTAAAAGACATCTGAATCCATGATGCGACTTCCACCATTTGTCACCACAGGTCCTTTCAATCCATGCTAGCAGGTCAGCGTGGCTAAACAACGTAAAACACAGTAACCAAGTATGTTGTGTTTTGTTTTATTCCGTGAGCTGGCAGCATCTCAGCTGCTATTCAACACAATGGTTCTCCCTACTTCAGATAGCTTGAATTAGAATTCACACACTCGTTCCTTCTTCAGACCCGCAGCTATGATTAAAACCTCTTCAGGCTCTCAATATGCCTGGATCAGAGACCTCTTGCAGGCGGGTTCGACCTCGGATGGGTGTCACAACCCATGGGGTGTCACATACCCAGGTCCCTCCGGCGAACGGTCGTGTCCTCCCGGAACGGGAGTGTATGCGGAAAAGACCGAATACCTATTATTGCAATACCTAGTATTGGTAAATATGTGTAAATACCGGATACCTATACGGTAGACAATCCCGTAGACATTTACGAGGCTTCTTATGCATGTCATCATGCCCGCCGGTTTATGAAATCGTTGGCAGAGCGGATGTCTAGATTTCCCAAGGTGGGGAGGTTGGCAAGATGGTCTAGATTTCCCAAGTGGTAGACTTCACAGATGCTCAGTAGGTACTATGTCAGTTGGAGGAGTCGCCAACGGAGTTGAGTCAGCCCTAGATTCACCTGATGCTTGTATTCCAGTGTTTGTTCAAGGCTCTTTAGTACTTGCACCAAAACAAGACCAAGCCGGGGAGCATTGGACTTTGGCATGTATATTCAAACATATTCAACATGGTTCTTGTCAAATTAGCAATGCTGCTGTACTTTCCAATGAGGGGGGGTAGCATTGCTTGGGAAACAATGTTTGCCCTTATTAATACAGTAGGTGGGACGAAACATCCATTGCAAACGCGACGCGAGCAACGTGTGTCAACTGCGACACGACTGCAAGGCCTTCAGCGAGGGCAAGTTCGATTTGTCATGGCCTCCAGCTGCGGCGGTGTGAGATCTTGGGCGTCTTGGGGCATGTTTCTTCTGTGGTTGTTTCATACTCCATCATACTCCCAGTGGCTAGACATCTTGGTTTGTTTCTCAACCATTACATTACCGTGTTTGTTTTTCAATGTACGAGATGCCTTTTTTTCAAGGTCCAGCCGATCATGTCGGATGGTCGACACTGGACGAGTTAGAGCGCGCCAGCGCGAAGCACCTGAGTCCTTTTCGGGGGAAGATTCTTGAAAGTCAACAAGGCTGTGGTGTTAACGCAGTACACGGAAAGCGTGGTTCCTTCAATGGTTTTGGACATCCTGTTTTGTGACTAAGGCCAAAGCTGTTTGGGTCAAATGCAGACCAAGAACAAAACTGATGTGGAAGGTGAGATGATGTGAGTGGTGTTGTTTTGCTGGAATGTTGCTCAAGCAGTGTATGTGCGGTTCATAGAAATCCAACGTTTTTGTTGCATTATTTTTTCGCACTGCAGGGGTACACAACCCACACATACCCACACCATACCCATCTCTGAACACAATAGTAATATAATGCTGAGGGTGTTTGGCCAGTTGTTATAGTTTTTTGGCCATGTTTGGCCCACAAAAACACACAGTGATTGAGGTTTGACAGTGCGCTGGCCAAGAACAAAGCTCAGATGGAAGCCACGCCGGAGCTGAAGTCGGCCGAAATCATTCTGAGGCAAGGCCTGGCGAGCCGAATCGGCGACAAACGTCGAAAAGACATGTCACTGTGAAACACCAATGTCGTGCATTCATGGTGTGTTCCACCGACTCCTGTTTGGGGACGTCGCTCGGGTGTCCGACCGATGGCACCGGATGCGCGAATCGACCGATGGGGCCACTTGAAGTATAGGGATCGCTCTTCAGAACATTCTATATGCATATAATCATATCCTGTTCGACTGGGTATATTGAATGTTTAGTTGCATGTATATTGGTTTTATACCAATAATAGATCATGATTCATCATGATGGTTTAAGATGGTTTACATACTTAATAATTACATTTGTTCTTGTTAGATCCACAGTAAAGTCTAGCAACATCTCGTCTATCAACATGTTCAAGTTCAACGGCAACATCTCCGTGCTCTTCACTGGTCGAACTCGTCCTTTGCCTTTGGCGCGCGTCGAACGAGGCGGAAGATGTGCGCGCTGTCGTTGATGGAGTTGGCCTTCAGGCGTCCCATCCGCCGTTCCGAGCCGTTCCGAGCCGTCCCGCCGTGCGGAGAACGGAGGGAGCGTCCCGAACGGACGGTGGAGAAAGCAACGAGCGACGCCGTGGAGGCCCGCGGTCCGTCGTGGAGTTAGTCCATCCATAGGTGAGACTGCTTGGCGCTCTGGTCAACGGGCCACCGTGAAGAGCTTCCTGATTTCGATTTTATGTGTGCATAGAGTGGGAATAGTGTGGCCAGCGAATTGTTTTTTCATAGTCAAGTGCTGCAAGAACAAATGGAGTTGTGCCATTTCCGAGACCGTTCATGTTGGATGAGCGTTGCTCCACTTGGATGTGACCAGGTTTGAACGTAAGTGTGAAGCATTTGCAGTATACACTGTTCATACACTGTTCAAATAGAGACGGACATGTTAGTCTGTTAGTCCAAAATGATTCCCGAGGCTCGCCCGGCCCTATAGTTATAGTTCAAACCTTTTAGCATCGGCAGAACAGAGCCAAAAAGACCTCTTAGGCTCACACCATGGCAATGTATACTTCACTTGGGGCTCACAACCAGGCTGTGTAGTCTTGGATGTGTCAACCAAAACTCACAAGATTTGGTGCAACTGTTGGTAGGAAAGAAAGGAGTGGCAATGTGCTGCCCAATACATTCGATCTCACCGATGTCAAAAAAGAAGAGACATCAGCTGATGATCATTGTTGCTTCCCATAGCCAGATCAATTTCTGAAGTCCTGAACCAATTCTCGATCCGTTCTTTGTTTCGTTGCGGTCGCACTTTCAGTCTTTCAGTGCTCAACCGCCAAAAAAAGAACCGCTCCAAACGTTCGGGAAGCCACCGAAAAGCCACCGCGGCTGAGGAAGCCCAAGAAGCAGCGTCGCCTGAACTTCACGGAAGTCGCCCAGCACTGTCGGGTGGCGGCCAACGAGGCGGACGGAGATCCGCGAGGATTTGGGAAGGTGGAGGTTTTGCACAGGTTTTTCATAGAAGCATAGAGGAATGGAAGAGTACCATGATAATTCATGATTATTTCATAATAATGCATATGGGTTCATGGTTTTCCAGCTCAAAAGCCCCTCAGGGAGTACTGTACCTGCATAAATACATATGAAACAACTAACATCAACTATATAACTAATTGTTTCGTTGCGGAGCTCCAGGCGGAGACTATGGGCTCCTAGAAACTCGATTCAGAGAATCATCCATCATTATTTCGTTGGACACCTTGCGGCCGGAACGAACTCGACCACGAACAGTGCCTCCATCTCCAAATCAGCCTCGCACTGGCAACACAAGACATCACATGTGTCCAAGACATGATCGCTTCTGGAGAATCGCCCGCAGCGTCCATTCCCTGAAACCCATGGGCCCCATGATACGCCGCCTGCCTTCCGCAGCTTTGCACGTCTTTCTGCGTCGCAGCTTTTCGCGTCGCTTTCTGCGATCCATGCGGGACATCGGTCCTCAAGGTGAGGCATCGGTCCTCAGACTACGCATGTTGCACAAATGTCGGTTGCACATGTGGTGAGGTTTGTTAGCTTGAAGCTGATGGCATCAATGCGTCAATATATGTTGGTACTCAAATTGTGCGAGCAAACCGGACAAGAATGTATTTTGTGAGGGCGCCAACCGTCTAGATTTGAACCCCCAGAATGATCTGAAATTGTCCATAGAATATCTTGAGACATCTCAGGATTTAGAAACCTATTGAAACCCAATCAGTTTCCTGGGACGCGCATTATAGAAGCTCCAAATATAGTACATTCTTCACCCCTACTTTGCCCAGCCCATACTTACCTTTCCTTAGGTTGTGTTGCAGCACCCCGCAAACCCTCATGTGCCCGGGGCGGCCTGATTGTGATGCGCGCCATGCGCAAGCCTTGGGCCGGACTAGCTGCTCTAGCTGGGGGCTGCAGGATGCGCTGTGGGGAGTGTTGCAGATGGGCCTTTGTCCGGATGGGTCATGAATATTGGTCCCCTACCTGCCAGAAAATGGTCCCCCTGGAGGTCACTTTCTACAAAGTTAATTGGTTTGTTGCCCTTCCGGGAGGATGTCATGTCTAGCAGAGGGTGAAAAAAACATATATTATTATAGACAACAATATATAATATATATATATATTTACAAAGATGTACAATTCATAGAGGGCCTTGTCAACCGTGATCCAGTCCAGCAGGGGTGCAGCGTTTGATTGCGTTTGAAGGTTCACATGTTGTTGGGAACTGCACGACTGCCAGAAGGTCAAGCGTCGCGATTGTTAGCACAAAGCTTCAGTGCATTGCCAGGCAAGACAGGGTGGACAACCGACCGTAATTAGGTGTCATTGGAAGGTTGTGACTCAATGAACATTAGATCTTACAGATGAACACAATGAAATGGGAGCTGCGAGGGAAACCACTTACTCGAACACTTCAATCACCCAGGCCAGCAGATTGCCAGCAATTTCTGTGATTTCTGTGGCCAAAAGCCTTTTCCACCGGGTCTTCCAACAAGTCGTGGCCCAAACTTCCCGGACAAGAGCGAGCGAATCGGTTGACCAGCTACACGGCGCTGAGTGGAGCCTAGTGAAAAGACTCGAGGCAGCAGACTAGCTCCGTTGGGACAAAGACTGGTGTTTCCGGATCTGAAGAATACATGGCATGTATCATATATGCGTATTTATGTAATGTATACTACTGTATATGCATTAGGTGTATATAATAAAATGTTTTCTGTGTATATTACATATATAGTATTATATATATATATTAACACAATATTAGGTTGTATTATTTCATATGTACGATGTAAAACTATATATATACATATCTTGCCTACACTTTTTTTCGACCCTTTCCAAAGGACACCTGGATGAAAGATGAAATACATATGGACCTTGGACCCGATCCCCTGTTCAATTTCCCCTCACCCCAGGTAAAGCGAAACGAGGTTGAACATGATTCGGCCATGGGGCTTCCGTTTGGGAGACTGAGGCCTTTTGCTCCAGAACCTGTGCGCAAGAAGCGCTGAAGGCCGTACAGCCAGCGCTGCTGGGAAGTCGATGCAGAACGGAAGCGACCAGAGGTGTGTCGACTAGAGAAGAACCTGCCAGACAGGTTGGGACAACTGATGACGGCATCAGTTGTGACATGTTGTGACTCTTTGAAGCCTGGTAAGCCAACAAACATACAAGAAAACCACATCGATCTATATAGATCCTGCGGATCTTGGATCTATGCGTCCACGGGAAACCACACGTGACCCTCCCACGGTCACGTGAAAAAGGTCGCAGCGCCATTGAAGAACAGTATCTTCCCTAACTTCCATAATGGGTCGTTGTTCCTTGGCGGGTGCTGATCAATCTGGTTTGGTATCTTGATTAGGCGCATGCTAATAGCCCCCTCCTATTTCGCTGTTTTCTGTGGGCCTGCAAAGCCACAACATCCCATGTTGAAAATTGATGATTTGTTTGCAGGTCCACGTTCTTTGCTCCTTAGACAGGAGATAACTACTCTCAATGGATCTAGACTAGATAACTATTCGACGTCATCATCGAAACTGCAAAGCCCCCGGTTACCTCCAATGGTTTGGATGTGCGACCGATGGCTACATGATATAGTATAGTGCACATGTTGGCTCCAAGTTCGTTGTTTCTCCTAAAAGAGTTCACAGACAATCTCCTGCAACAGCACACTCCCAGGGGTACCCGCGGTATCCCAAAGTTAAGGATTGTATTATATTGTATTTGATGGAGCCACTGGAGCCTCCTGGTCAAGATTATCATGTTGTAGAGGTATTTAAACGCCTCGCCAGGTCAGCTTGCTGGCAGAGCGGCCGGGGTACCCAGCACACCGGGTGACGGCCCGGTGTATGACCGGACCTCTAGAGGTTCTGAGCGCCCAGCCACACGAAAAGAGCGCCCAGCCCCACTTTGATGCACCAAAAGAGAAGTTCGGCCCGATGTGAAATTGGCAGTTGCTATGTTGGAGCTGTTCCATTTCCAAAAGATGTCCAGCAAGGCAGATATCATATATATATATATTATGCACGTATACAAAAAGGTGAACACTTAGTTTATGCATACATATATTGTGCGTCTTAATCAGTCCCACCAAAAGTCTTGTGGGGGCCAGGGTTCTCGGTGGTGTAAACGGGCCTGTATGGAATGAAAGTGAGCTTGCTTGCTGGGTTTCAAGAAGATCGGGATCCAGAAATCATAGAACTTTCTCGGGAGTGGTAGCTGCTAGGCAGCTCATGTTGGTTCAAGGAAGGGTTTCCCTTTGGATGCAGCATGGAATCCATGGACCTTCGTGAAAAATCCTTCAAGTCCTTCAGCAGAAAGAAGGTAATTAGCTGGTTTCGCAAGTGAACTGCTTCTATGAAAGGCATGTCAACTCTTTTGCCAGGAGATACCTGGCAGACACAGGCCCTGTCCGGGTTGGCTATACCACGCTTGACCTCCAAAAGAAGGTTCCTGGAAAACCTGAACCTGGTGTGACTCAGTCATCCAAGCAATCAATCATGCTAAACCCAACAAAGAACGCTGTCATGACGAAGCATGGTTCTCGGGCAAGTGGCTGGTTTTGCGGAGAAAAGTGAACACAGGAAGCAGCTTCCATACCAAACATTGATAAAAATGGGTCATCCAAGACTGTGAGGGGCCTTTCCTTGCAGACCATGCTCAAGAGGTGCCATTCACCGGGGTTGCGTTTCACCACATGCATGGATATGAAAGGCCCAATGGATGGCCGTTTTGGTGTCAAAGAATTGAGTTCTCCATCCATCATGCATCCTGTAGCATCCTGCCACACTGGATCAAACCAACACAACGAAGTAACAGGTGCCTTCGATATCCGTTAACAAATCATCTTCGCTGTCAGCCATATGTCATCCTTATTTGATAATGTTGTTTTTGTTTTTCAAAAAAGATCATTGAAGGTCCTTCTTTTTTCCTTCTTTCCTGCTTTGGTCTCCTTCAGCAGGGAGACCAAATAAGTTGTTCCGTCAAAACTTCGAACTTGGAACGTCCCGACGTGTCTCGATGTTTCGAGTGGCCGGGCGAAGCGGTTCTTTATCCCCCCTGCAGCGGAGCGGGAAATCCAGTGTTTTGTCGGATATGGAGGGTGTTTGCCGCTTCCCAAACAGCTTTTGTTGTTTTTGGTTTCATGCATGTTCAAAACTTGTTGCATCATGTTCGTTTCATTTTTGCCAGGTGCAACACCACTGGATGTCCTGCATCCTTGGTGCGGGACCCAGGTTTTTGCGGGACTCGATGTGCGTGAATCTCGCCTCCCAAATGAATGGCCTGGAGCACACAAAGCTTTCACAAAAGTCTTTTATGTATTCTTCTCCGGCAGGTCTTAACCAAGACAACCCAAGCACCTTCAACTTCACATTCACGAGTGCAGCATGGACTTCTTATCCGCATAATTCATGACGTCTTGAGACACATCTCTTCTTCCAATCGGGGCCGCCAATGAGCGGCGTTCGGAGTGAAGAATTGGCGTGAAGAGTGGGATCTGTTTAAACGGCTAAGAGCTTGCGGCGAGGTGGAGAACCGCCAAACGGAAGGAACCGTTGCCTTGAGGAACCTTCCGTCATATCGATGTGTTTTTGTGTTTTTGGTTTTCCCATTTTTCAGTAGCTAAGACGGGGTTCGGATAATAGGTAGATGTATGATGTAGATAGTTGTGCAATAATTAAGGTGGTGCCTCAGGAGGTGGAGCCAGACCCCATTGCTTCCACAACACTCCCAGGTCAGTGGAGGGCCCACCTGTAAACTTGTTCACAAGCACCATCAGCCACCGCAACAGTCCCAAAATAACACGAGCGATCTGTCTTGTTTATATACGCTGTACATGTATTAAATATATATATATATATACATGTATTGTATACTATTCTATAGACATGGATTTTTAATATATATATATGAATATATATATATGTAACCATTAATATTGTATGTTTAAATATACATATATATATATATGTTAGAGAGACGTTCCGCATTTATTTCGTTGCGCGTGTCAGTTCGCACAGAAACTAAACGTCCAGCCATTTAGTTTTTTTAGTTTTCTTTGTAAAACTACAGGGCTAGACTCCTGGACATTTAGTTTTTTTAGTTTTTTTAGTTTTTTTTAGTTTTTTTAGTTTCTTTTTATT